TTGTAACATTCTTGTTATATCATGACTGTATCAGACTTGTTAGAACAACCTTGTAACATTCTTGTTATATCATGACTGTATCAGACTTGTTAGAACAACCTTGTAACAAGTCTGATAATGCCATCAAGCTTGTTACAAGTTGATAACAGCTTGTTCCAAATTTGTTGCAACAACTGGGAACAAGCCGTGCGAACACAACTTGTCGACAGCTTGTGGACAGATTTCAATATGGCAGTTTTTTCGCGAATTGCTATAATTGCTATAATTACTAGCACGCGAAATCTCGTCTAGGAGAGCTGGACTTTTATGTAATGGTCATATGAACCCAACCTAAATATTTGAAACGATTATGAACCTACCTGAACGCGTATTGAAAACATACGATGGGAAAACAGCTGTTGCAAGTACTGAAATTAACCGTATTTTAAAACCCTATAGACAGAGGATCAAAAAATGAATGAAAAATCACAATATCGGGAGGCAATTCCATTCTGCCTTCGTCCTGTATGCCTTTAACGCTTGTAAGTCCATTTCTGTATCAGTCGGGGGCGTTCAAACGTCTTGTGGGCTCCAGCCAACACGTTCTATTAAACTCCCATGCAAAAAATGTGAAATTTCAGGCAGAAAAAAATAATTGAATCATTAGCAAGCTTACAAAAAACTACATAGAAGACATTTGAACGGATTGTACCTTGATTTTTCAAGTTCTTCTTGAGGTATGAGCTTCTGTAAACGGGTTTTCAGACTAGTGCCCAGGATTTTTGCAATTTTGGGATTTTTGGCTTATTTTTCACATTTTGGAACAGCGATAGCTCGAACACAGCTTGAAAAATCAAGGTATATAACCGTTTAAGGGGCCGATTACATGGAGAATTTTCAACCCCGGGGTTGAACTCAGCCCTGTTAACCGGGTTGAAATTTTTTGCGATTACATGGACGATTTCAACCCCCCGGGGTTAAAACGTTATACTATACGTTCTCGGCATCGATTCGCGGAAGTAAAAAAGCCTTTATTTTGTTTTCTTGTAATAAATAGTCACTACCACGCATGCTCGAATAACTCATTATAATTTCAGCCCTGGGTTAAAACGATTACATGACAAAATTTTCAACCCAGGGCTGAGTTCAACCCCGGGGTTGAAATTTCAACCCTGCTAGCTGAAGCAGGGTTGAAATTTCAACCCCGGGGTTGAACTCGAGCCCTGGGTTGAAAATTTTGTCATGTAATCGCGCGTTTGATTTTGATAGAGTTTTGTATTACAGACAGGGCTGAAATTTCAACCCGGTAAACAGGGCTGAGTTCAACCCCGGGGTTGAAAATACTCCATGTAATCGGCCCCTAAATGTCTTATGTGTAGTCTTTTATAAGCATTCTAGTGAGGCAAATTAGTTTTTCTGTAAATGGACCTGAAATTTCACGTTTTAAGGATATAGGATAGGAAAATCGAAGAAAAATGTGTTGGCCAGGAGCCCACAAGACATTTGAACGTCGCCAACATACAGAAATGCAAGTACTAGCCAAAAAGGCATAGGAAGAACGCAAAATAGAAGAAAATAAGGTTTATTCCGCTTATCTGGCTGAGTATTATAATTGAGGTGTAAATACATCTCACGCCGAATGCCATTTCTGAACTTTCTGCACAAAAAACTTTTGGCTTGCTTAACTTGTGATGAATGTAACAATATTACAGTCGCAAAGAAAAAATATATGTACTTATATATAAATATTGAACTATACCTTATATATTGGAATAAGGTTTTTATCCTAATAAATATGTGTTCAGATGTTTTTTAACTGATCGTTGTATTTAAGTTTGGAACATGTAACAAGTCTGGTACAATATCTTGTTACAAAGTTGATGAGACCAACAGACTCGCAAAGAAGTCATATGTCTGTCAACAAGTTGTGTTCGCACTGCTTGTCCCAAGTTGTCAAATGTCAACAGGTTTGGAACAAGCTGTTAACAACTTGTAACAACCTTGTTGATATTATCAGATTTGTTGCAAGGTTGTTCCAACAAGTCCGATACAGTCATGGTATAACAATATTGTTACAACCTTGTGTCGTCAACCTTGTAACATTCTTGTTATATCATGACTGTAACAGACTTGTAAGGAACAACCTTGTAACAAGTCTGATAATGCCATCAAGCTTGTTACAAGTTGTTAACAGCTTGTTCCAAACATGTTACAACGACTGGGAACAAGCAGTGCGAGATTTGAAACAACTTGTTTGCAGACCTGTAACAATTGTGCGTTTTTACGTGTGTAATAAGTCCGATAACTATTGTACGTAACAAGTTGTTTACAAGTTACAAACAGCCTGTATTAGTCTTGTTGAAACAACTTGTAGCAAGTCTGTTACCGTCATCAACCTTGTAACAAGGTGATAACAACTTGATCCAGACTTGTCACAACAACTGGGAACTGTAATAGAGTTTAATATATATAGTTTTAAGAGTTCTTTCAAATGAACTAAACTATTTTTTATTGTCTACGCCCGTTAAGTAAATCGACACTCGGTTACATGTAACTGTGTGTGACCCTAACAAGTTGTCAAATTGAATGTCATGCTCTGGGTCTCGTGGTTCCGATACTTTTTCAACCCTGGGATCTGTCGAGATTTCTTCCTGTGAGGCAATAGACCATTTGCATTATAGACAAATTTTTGATCTAGACAAAAATTTCATCACAGCTTGAAAGAGCATCACAAAATAAGTAATATTCCAAAGTTTCGTTGCGAAATGTTGTAAAATGCGGATAATGTAGCCTTGCGAAATTTGCAAATTTCAGTCATTTTGTGTTACAAACGGGAAATCGATGCCCCAATACCCGATTGGGCTGTCAATTTCCCATGCGTAATACAAAATGACTGAAAAACGGCAAACTTCTCAAGGCTATATTATTCGCATTTTACAACATTTCGCAACGAAACTAGTTGGAATATTACTAATTTTGTGATGCTCTTTCAAGCTGTGATGAAATTTTTGTCTAGATCAAAATTTAGTCTATAATGCAAATGGTCCATTACTTCCATTTCTTTTCATTTGCACAATGTTCAATGCATTCTCTTTGCCAACGCCAGTAACCCAGAAGTCTTGAGAAGTCTTGAAAATGTGTGTCTCAATCGCATATCAAAAAGAGACAAAAAGTTGGGAGACGCCTGAGGAGCGCTATTTTTTGCCGTTTGGGATGGAGGAGCGACGAATAAAATTTCATATTTTTATAGCACATAAGGTTTGTGCTTCGAAAAAGGCGGAAGAAAAACCTCGGAAAGGCAATTTTCTGGCGATCTGGGGAACTCAAATTTCAAAATTTCCCCCAGGGCGCGCCAACTATGGTGGCGCCTTGTCGACACTAACCTAAGGAAATGACCTTCCCGCATAAAATTTTTCAAAACTTGGCAGGTCTGAGAATGGTGTTTACGTGTCTGCCAATTGCCATATGGACTGCAGTCAATCCAGTGTTTGATAAGGACTCAGATGTTTCAAGGGTGCTTTCATAGTCTGATCGAAAAACCAACAGTCAATATTTATAGCGGTTGGAAATTTCCTCAGAAATACGTCGACAAATGAATCATTTCACAATCGACGTCTCGCAGGGATTTTTAAGTTCGATTCCTGCGCAGGGACCAGCTCATAGTTCCATTTTCCACAGCTGTTTTTGGTCGAGTCTAATAAATGTATATAAAATTTCCACTTGAAAATTTCCATTTACAATATATACATGAACCTGTGGTGGTTCGACAACTGGACTCGGTAAATAAATGCCAGATGGTACATTTGGTTTGCAAAAGGTTTGGTGTGTTGTCGTATGTAAAGTCTGGTTTCCATATGGTCGTAACGGTCGTAAAAATAGAGTCGCGATCTTTCTCAACAGCCAGTTTATAATAGTTTATACCTGTAAACCACATATAAATCATAAATATTCTCTAGTTAGAATCACTCCGCGTATTTTCAGTTCTAAAATGTTGTATTTCGGCTGATGAGAAAGATCGTCACTCGATCTTTACGACCGTTACGACCAGATCAAATGGAAACATTTAGAAAAGACTTGCCGCGACACGTCGGCAACACTCCACGACTGTTTTACAACAGTGTCGTCGAGATAGACTCGAGTTCTATCTCGACCACAGATGCGACTGGCTAAAAACGTGACGTGACCGTTATTTTTAAAGATTCTGTAGTGCTATCTTTGTCACGACATGCTTTGCGTAATGTAAACAAACGCTTTGTTTACATTTTGAACTCCGTGTTACAGTTGTAAAATATCATTAGATATATATATTTTTAACACTCTTCTCAGTGGTTCGCTGTGCTGACTAGAGATTCAATTCAAGAAAGTTCGGAAGGTGCGAAATATTTTACTAGTAAATAACATTCCAACGGTCGGTGTATATTATACCGAACCTTTCAAAAATAAGTAGAAAACAAATACCATTCAATTAACTTTTAATTTCAAAACACAACTTTTGATAACTTTACATTTAAAGTTTACATTTAAAGTCGAATTTCCCGCTCAAGCGTGGTATTCGAAGTCGAATA